TCTGGTAGCGCCAGCACCTGTAGCACCAGCAGTACCTCCAACACCTCCAGTGCCAGCAACTCCAGTATCATCTCCAGCACCAGCAGCACCACCTGCTCCGGCAGCGCCAGCACCTCTAGCACCAGCAGTACCTCCAACACCTCCAGAGCCAGCAGCTCCAGTAGCACCTCCAGCACCTCCAGCACTAGCAGCACCACCTGCTCCAGCAGCTCCAGCACCCCTAGTACCTTCAGCTCCAGCGCCTCCAGCACCAGTAGCACCTCCAGCGCCTCCAGTACCAATAGCACCTCCAGCACTAGTAGTACCTCTAGGACTAGCACCTCCAGCACCTCCACCACCAGCAGCACCTCCTGCACGAGCAGCTCCAGCATCTCTAGCAGTACCTCTAGAACCTCCAGCACTAGTTGCACCTCCAGCACTAGCAGCTCCAGCACTTCCAGCACCAGCAGTACCTCTTGCACTAGCAGCTCTAGCACCTCCAGCACCAGCAGCTCCAGCACCTTCAGCAGTACCCCCAGTACCTCCAGCACCAGTAGCACCTCCCACACGAGCAGCTCCAGCACCTCCAGCACCAGCAGTACCTCCAGGACTAGTAGCTCTAGCACCAGGAGCTCGGAGTACCTCCAACACCTGCAGGACGGAGCCCTCCACTACCAGGACTGCCACGCCGAGCCTTCGACGCATGAATCTGCCGTGGCGAGAGCGTCTCAAGTAGATCAGGTTGCGGTGGCTGTCCAGCTCCAGGACCTCCAGCAGGGTCACCCACAGCTCCACCGCCACTAGGACTCGCAGCACCCCTAGAGTCAGCAAGCCCAGTCGCAGCACCCCCAGAACCAGCACCCCCAGTCGCAACACCCCCAAAACCCTCACCCTCTTTCTCAGCACCCCCAGGCTCAGTACCAGCAGTCTCAGCTCCAGAGTCCATAGCAGCAGGCTACTGAGGCAGCAAAGTCCGCTGATCTGGAAAGCCCGGGGGGGTCTCCAAGCGTGGAGAGCGGCGACGGGCCGCCGTGTCGTCGGCGGCGGGATCACCCCTCTCATCTGGGCCAGAGGAGTTAGAAGAGATCTCCACAGGCTCATCCAAGTGGGGTGGGTCTACCTAAGACACACCTGAGGGAGCAGGACCCTGCGGGGGGGAGTGGGTCTCCCAGGGGGGGACTGGTACCAGGAAGAGAGGCGTGATGGGGACTGGGTGGGACGCGTGCGGGTGTAGCCTGTAGTAACAGACAGACTCGTCAAAGGTGACATTCTAGGAGGAGAAGAATCGACGCGATCGCGGGTGGTAGAACTGCCACGGCGGGGCGTCGGTGGGGAAGCCAAGGAAGACGCAGCGGAGAGTGCGAGGGGAGAGCTTGCTCGCGGTGGTATCGCAAACAAGGGAGAGCACACCCCAGACCCAAAACACTGACGCATCACCAACCTCTCCCGTCCAACGGAGGTGGGTGTGGTCTCTGGCAAAATGAAACAGGGCCAGGTTGAGCTAATGCAGCGTATCGGACCGCAAACGGCCACAGAAAATGGGGTGCAGCCGCATGGATCATGGAGGTACGAGCAACCTCCATGATCAAGCCAATGCGACGCTCAACAATCCTATTTTGTTGAGGAGAGGCCGGAAGCGTGAAGGACAGGCGGATGCTCTTGTCTCGACAGAATTCCGCAAGGAGGTCAGAAGAGAACTCACCGCCCCTGTCACAGTGCAGACGCAGGACTAGGAAGTCTTGACGAGACCGCTCGCGTAGCTGGCAACGATTAGCACAGATCTAGAGGATCAAAACACCACTAACATCTGCCTTGCACCGCAAGGGGAAGACTGTGGTGTAGCATGTGTAGTCGTCAACAACCAGCATGAAGTAGCGCTCCTGGTCCGTTGCACCGACGGGGGCCGGGCCCCAAACGTCCATGTGGAGAGTCTGCAGAGGAGCAGTGATCGAAGGAAACTCGGAGGAGTGAGGAGCGGCGCGCTGCCGCCCCTCAACGCAGGGAAGGCACGGCGGGGCAGGTGAGCGTGGGAGGGAGGGCAAGGACATGGGAAGGCCAGAGACAAGGAGACGGGAGTGCATGCTGCGGAGACGCGGTAGCGAGAAGAGACCTAGGTGGTGGTGCCACAGGAGAGTCTGGTGTGAAAGTACCCGACACGACGCAGCCACCTGACCTGACTCAGCCACCTATGCAGACGCAGTGGTCAGTGTGTACAGGCTGGACCCAGGCTCACGAGTGAACGTAGTAAGGTGCCGGCCAATCCGTGAGCTCTTACAGATTGCCACACGCTGTCCTCCTGGAATGCAGGTGTCAACCCATTTATCCTGCAGAACTGCGTTACTCAACAAGTTTGTCGAGAACGCGGGGAGGTGGAGACCTAAGAGAGATCTGGAGGGGACTGCGAGACACGGGAGGACAGTAGAGGCTCGCGCAACTACTGGGCCCCTAGTGGGGTTAGCCAGTGAGAATGGGACAGGTGCTGCGCGTTGTATGACTGTTATGCAATCATGAAAGAAGCAACGTGATGCGCTTGAGTCAGATGTGAAATTGTGCAAGGCCTCAATTGAGGCAGGACCTGTGGTAGTAGACGCACTAGCACCTAGAGAGTCGGCAGACTCAGGAGCACCTAGAGCTGCAGCCGACTCGAAATCACATGGGACGGCAGCCTCTACACAACCAGGGACGCACCGCCGAGAAGCACAGGTACGAGGTTGCTACAGGGAGAAGGTGCTTTGCGTACGCTGCTGTTGCCGCTGTGCAGTACCCATAAAACCTAAACCTACATCACTAGGACTGTTTCGCTGAATAAACACTCACGAAGCTGCTGAGGGGTGGGGTCATCCGGGAGAGGAAATTGTCAGAATCCCAACCACTAGACCATTGGGATAAAAGGGCTTGTTTCAGTAGCGGGTCAGTGCGCCCATAACCCCCCAGGCGAACGCGCCTGTAACCCTCTCCAGGATCAATCGGGCATCCACAGTGCAGATCTACTGACAGAAATGACCGCTGCTGTCCACCCCTAGCCGCTGCAACTACCGTGATAGTGGCCATGACAGGCCGTAACGGTCAGTAGCAGGTCCAGCACATCCAGCACTCCCAACAGCACCTCCACCAGTAGTAGCAGTAGCACGAGTAGCAACAGCAGCACATTAGTAGCAGAAGTGCAGCTCGGTGGGGCTGGTGAATGAGGTAGAGCGGCGCAGCTCGGGTTGGGCAGGGCAGCTCGGGCTGGGCGGCGCTGCTCGGCCTGGGCAGCGCGGCTCGCAGCTGGGCGGCGCGGCTGGGCAAAGCAGGGCACGCTGCGGGCTGCAGGGCAGGACGCGCGCTGGGCAGAGCAGCACGGCACGACGCGCGGGCTGCAGCAGGGCGTGATGCGCGGGCTGTAGTAGGGCGCGACGCACGAGGCAGCAGGGCGCGACGCGCAAGGCAGCAGGGCACGACGCGCAAGGCAGCAGGGCGCGCGGAGCAAAGGCTGCTCGCGGGCAGCAGTGGCGCGCGGGGCAGGGGCTGCTCGTGGGCAGCAGGGGCACGCAGGGCAGGGGCTGCTCGCGGGCAGCAAGGGCACGCAGGGCAGGGACTGCTCGCAGCCAGCAGTGGCGCGCGGGGCAGGGGCTACTCACAGGCAGTAGGGCACGCAAGGCAAGGGCCGCTCGTTGGCAGTAGGGGCGCGCGGGGCAAGGGCCGCTCGCGGGCAGTAGGGGCGCGCGGGGCAAGGGCCGCTCGCGGGCAGTAGGGGCGTACGGGGCAGTAGCCGCTCGTAGGCAAGAGGGGCGCGCGTGAAAGCTGGACAGCGTGCTAGGGTAGGCAGTGCGAGTAGCTGCAGGGCAGTGCGTCACTAAGCGAGCAGGGCCGGACAGCGCAAGGGCACTACGGGCAGGAGAGAGCGGTACTATCGGTGGGCCCTTAAAACCTAACGGGTTCCTGCTCTGAATACCATGTCGGAATAGCTATGCAGGAATGATTGGATTAGCAACAGTTGGGGTTCAAATACTAACCCTAGAAGTGTTCCATTATGTACGCCAACACTACAGTGGAAAATGAAAAGAGGGCCACTCGTACTCCTACACCAGCTGCGACATTCCAAATTCCTAGTGTGGGGGGGAGGAGAAGAGATAGCGCTTAGAAAATATTTCGTATATGTGGAGAAGCAAGTCGAACTAGAGGAGGAGAGGTACGATCCAAACCAGGCCTTGATGCTCGCCTTCAATAAGTGCAACGGAGGTATGGGCCTTTTTACGTATGATACCAACTTGATTCTAGCAGTCATGCATGATCGCCGTTTCGTAAAGCCTTCTTTCAAGAACAAGCTGCCATGGAGAAATACGAGAAGCAAAAGTTGGCTGAGATGAACGGGATATAAGAGTGGGAGGCTATAGATGTCAGTTTGGGGACTGATGATAGTGTGACTTTGTATGTTACTTCTCTAGCGAGGGCTGTGGAATCTATGTTTTCCGACCGCAAAAATCATTTGGCTTTTGTTCACAGGCCTCAAACGCTTTACACTCGGGATGGTCAGCACATTTATGAAGGGCCAGAAACGGGAAACAACTGGATTGAATGGCAATCCAAGGTTCCAAGAGGAGCGCTAGCAGTACCAGTGATAATCTATCGTGATGCAACCAACCTTAGAAATGATGGACTAGTAGTTGGGTATCCCGTATACAACACCATTGTCAGTATTTAAGTGAAGAAGAGATGGCCGCCGCACGGGCACCGGATGGTAGCTATGCTGCCCCATCTCACCCGCGTGGATGCCAAAACAGAGGCTAGAAAGTTTTTTCGGTGAGATGTGTTTCACAAGGCAATGGAGCATGTTCTTGAAGACCTCAAGAAAGCCTCTCATGAGTAAGCTTCACCATGTTCTAAACCTTTGTCTGCAAATTCTTTAAGCATATTACCATCACCCCAAGTTCTTTCAGTTTTAGCCCATCTCACTCACTCATTACCCCATCTTCCCCCCCCCATTAGAACGTTCCTGCCATTATAAGTCAAATCCCCTCACCCATCACTGCATCGTCCTTATGCATCTGCACATATCTCTCACTTATAAGCTCGCGTCTAGCACTCGTGCACCCACTTCACTCCATCATCACCCCATCTCCCTCGATCATCACCCCATCTCTCTCGCTCATCACCCCATCTCCTTCACTCACCAGCCCATCTCCCTCGCTCATCACCCCATTTTCCTCACTCATCAGCCCATCTCCCTCACTCATCACTCTATTTCCCTCACTCAACAGCCCACCTCCTTCACTCATCACCCCATCTCCCTCACTCATCACCCCATCTCCCTCGCTCATCACCCCATCTCGCTCGTAACCATCGTGCTTGCCAGTATAGTGGATCAGGAGATTGTCGATGCAATCGCGGCATTTGTGGACTGCTGACATGTAGAAGATGGTATCACACCGACGGCACGTTGTCCAAACTCGACGATGCCATCAAAAAGTATGGACACATTTTCAAAGCCCCTCTTAATTTTCCTGCCCCTATTTGTCCATCCTTGTTTCACCCTTATCCTTTCTTGATTACGACCCACTTCTCCATGTTTTTCTCACTCTCATTTTCCACCACCCTCTCTATGCTTCTCACATTTGGTTCGTCCCTACTACACTCTCTATCACCCTCACAATCCATCCATGGTTCGTCCTCTCTCCTCCCTCCACACCCCCTCTTTACCCCTCGCTAATCTCCCACTACTCTCTCTATGTTTCCCCCACTCATACCGTCCATCCGACTTTCTCAAACCCTACCTCTCCATCCCTCTCTGTTGCTCCCTCCTCCACCCTCTCATACCATCCCTGCTTTGCCCTCCTTTTTTAATTCACTCCCTCCTTGTCTATCTCTCCACGACTACCTCCTGGGAGGTCCCCGTCCTCCCTGGAAAAGTTTCCCTGCATAGCCCATTCCCTTCCCTCTCCTCATCCCCTGCAGCTCCCTCCTCACTTGCTATTCTTCCTCCTTGCAGCTCCATTCCTCACTTCCTATTCCTCCTTGCAGCTCCATTCCTCACTTGCTATTCCTCCCCGCAGCTCCCTCCCTCACTTGCTATTCCTCCCTGCAGCTCCCTCCCTTGCTTGCTATTCCTCCCTGCAGCTCCCTCCCTTGCTTGCTATTCCTCCCTGCAGCTCCCTCCCTCGCTTGCTATTCCTCCCTGAAGCTCCCTCCCTCACTTGCTATTCCTCCCTGCAGCTCCCTCTCTTACTTGCTATTCTTCCCTGCAGCTCCCTCCCTCGCTTGCTTTTCTTCCTCCTTGCAGCTCCATTTCTCACTTGCTATTCCTCCCTGCAGCTCCTTCCCTCACTTGCTATTCCTCCTTGCAGCTCCCTCCCTCACTTTCTATTCCTCCCTGCAGCTTCCTCCACACTTGCTATTCATTCCCCCTTGCAGCTCCCTCCCTCACTTGCTATTCTTCCCTGCAGCTCCCTCCCTCACTTGCTATTCATTCCTCCCTGTAGCTCCCTCCCTCGCTTGCTATTCCTCCCTGCAACTCCCTCCCTCCCTCACTTGCTATTCCTCCCTGCAGCTCCCTCCCTCGCTTGCTATCCCTCCTTGCAGCTCCATTCCTGGCTTGCTATTCCTCCCTGCAGCTCTCTCCCTCACTTGCTATTCATTCCTCCCTGCAGCTCCCTCCCTCACTTGCTATTCCTCCCTGCAGCTCCCTCCCTCGCTTGCTATTCTTCCCTGCACCTCCCTCCCTTACTTGCTATTCCTCCCTGCAGCTCCCTCCCTCACTTGCTATTCATTCCTCCCTGCAGCTCCCTCCCTCACTTGCTATTCATCCCTCCCTCCCTCCCTCCATCCCCCTTCACACTGCTGCCCTGTTTCGCCCTCTATCCTGAATCTGTTTGTTGTTTGCACACACGCTAATCCCACTCTTGACGGATGTGTTTGGTGATGCTCAAGCCTCGAATTTCAATATCACCAAAGGTCGCCCTGCAGCACGTGGGTGCAAAATATTGGAAAATCTACCACATATGCTCAACCATGTTCGATATCCTTCTATAATGATGTTCATGAGCTCATGATACCCTCCTTGTCTTTGCAGGCAATTGATACAGGAAAGAACACGCTTGCAAGCACGTCTTTCAAGGTAAATTGGAAAGAAGCCAATCCATAGTGTTCCGAACGGGCTGCACACATCCAAGAGCTCCAGGTGACATGTCTAAGTCGCAGCATATTTTGGAGACCATGGAGAGTGATGGCGAGGTTCTTAGTACTCAGCTGCACATAAAGAAAAGGGTGGTGATTGTGGGGGACGAAGATTTCACCAAATACTCAAGTCAATCTCTCTATGGGCGCGCGTGTTCTTCCTTCGAGGACAGGCCGGTTTAATGATGTAGCGGTCCTGAGTGAGGAGGACGTCACCCGCGCTGGTGAGCGGTCCACGAGATGGGTCATTTGGCATGCTAGATTGCTATTGTTATTTGTTCTCAACGTGTTCGTTCTACATACAAGAGAGGTGGAACAAAAGGAGTTGGCTTGTGTGCGCTTCTACAAGGCCACCGGTGAGACTCACATATCTCATCGCCCGATCATAATATGGGAGGATGCTGAGAATGAGTATCAAGTACTGGACATTGAGAATATCCTTCGAGTCGAGTGTGCATGTAGTTCCAGTGGGTGACGATGTTTTTGTTCATAATGTAATCACGTTCTATTAAAATGAGTGCAACAACCTCTCAATCCTACATACAGGGCCCCTGTAAGATGAGAAAGCGCTGCGTTGATATGGTATTAATGAGGATTCTTGTACCGTGATCCCCTAGATATGCCACATTCGGTTTGGCTTAAGACTGATTTGGAAAAAAATGACATTATGTTGCTAAGAGGAACGGATATATATAACACGGGTTTCTTGTTAAGAGTCGTGAGAGATAATTGGAAACAGATGATGGCCTGCACCTTCATATGTCAAGAAAAATCCACGAATAATACAAGGCCAAATAAATGGACTGTGTTTATCGGCGATGCCGGCAAGGGAGTCTACGACACAGGGGGGGGCCGGCGATGACTCGTCGACAAGACCGTCCTCTGAAGCAAGGTGTGGTTTTTGAGGAGGCCGTCATCTAGTCGACTAGCCAATTGACGAGCTCTGGTCAACGGGGTGTCGTTTGGCGAGCTCGTCATTTGATCGGCTAGTGAGTAGCGCGAGCTCTGACGGAAGGGGTGCTTTTTGACAGGCCACGTTCTCTGACTAAGGGGCGCTGTTCGGCGAGCCTCGTCTTGGCAAACTATTCGATCGGATTCGCTTGACTTCGAAACCCGGCGAAGGTGTGCGAATTTTGCTCAGGATGTTTTAGCGAAAATCAACATGCAAAACAGCTTTATGTGCTTGACGGTGGACACCTGGTGAAACCGGAGACACGTTTTCTACTAGGCACCTACGCAATGTGCCTGATGGTATCATTGTCTACCTGCAACTACTTGGTAGGTGCGCACCTATGCGCAGTTATTCACCAGCGACTGCAATGCTGGCGGGCCGCGCTTCTGTAGCGTTGGCGTGTCGCCCTTCTGCTACGCTAGCAGGCTATCCTTCTGCTACGCTAGCAGGCGATCCTTCTGCAGCATTGGCAAACCGATCTGAAGCTGCACTGGAAATTCGCCTTGCAGAATGCTTGCTAGGTGTTGCAATGCCCTCCTCACACATATCGACTAGCATGCCTCATTTTCGTACTTCTTTTCTGGCGTAGTCCATCTGGCACGTAAAATTGACCTGCATGACATAGCACATATGGCACACCGGTCGGCACGTGGACGACCTGGCACCTGCGCAATGTGCGTGACGATGCACAACGGTGCAACTGTCTACCTGCACCTACTTGGTAGGTGCGTAGATGTGCGCTCATTCTCACATGTGTGTGGAAAACTGGCAAGCCGCCTTACTGCAGCATCAGCAAGATGCCTTGGTGCAAAGATGGAAGGCCTTCGTCTTGCTGCGTTGGCCACGTTCGTTCAGAGCCCTATATTGGAGGTTTTGTGCTTGCATGTGTGTGCCAAAGCTTGATCTAGGTACTTGTGCACATGTGCTATGCTTGTCGTAAGAATTGGCTCGAGTTTCTATTGCCTACGTTGGAAGAATGATGAATACAATGGCAAAACAAATCAACAACGGTTCGGCGAAGCTGGATGGCAGCTTGACAATGATGCAGCTGAGCACTTTGTGACCATCGTACAAAGTCGGTTTGCCGACTCTACAGCACGTCAGCCTGCTAGCGTTGCAGCAGCATGTGACCATGTGCTAACATGTGCGCCCTAACCATAGTTTTGCGGTAAAATTAAGAAGAGTTTTGAGAAGAGCAATAATGGAGGTCTTCCAGTCGATTTAGTAAAGAGGACATTGCAACACAGAACATGCAAGCTATGAGGCAAACTGGAAGCGCAGGATTAGAGCAGCCTGCCAACAGTGCAGAAGGGCGGCTTGCAGACGCTGCATTCGCAGGTGAATATCTGCGCACATGTGCGCACATACAAAGTTGGTCCAGGTCGACGGTTGTATCGTCACACACATTGTGCATGCTGTCAAACTTATATGCTATAGTCTGTGTAGGCTTTAGCGGGGTAGACAATATGGGGTACAACATTTCTAGGTTTTCCTACTTGTACCGACCTCTTTCCTAGTTCATTCATCCCTCATTTCTTGACATGGTATAGAGCAGGTTCCCTAGTGGGAACGCTTCCTTGGGCCCACCACTGAAAACTTTTTTTTCTGACCGGAGCGCCAGTCGCTCCTGCTCGAGGCGCGCCTTGTGGGCCGCCCGTCTGTCGAGCTCTCTTAGAGGCCCCTCTTGCAGCCCCGTCGCCTCCTCCCCCTCTACGCGGCCTCGTTGCCACCCCTAGCGGCCCCGTCGCCGCCCCTACGCGGCCCTCTCGCCGCCCCTAGCGGCCCCGTCGCCTCCTCCCCCTCTACGCGGCCCCGTCGCCGCCCCTAGCGGCCCCGTTGCCTCCTCCCCCTCTACGCGGCCTCGTCGCTGCCCCTACGCGGCCCCGTCGCCGCCCCTAGAGGCCCCGTCGCCGCTCCCCTCCCTACGCGGCCCAGTCGCCGCCCCTAGCGGCCCCGTCGCCGCCCCTACCCGGCCCCGTCGCCGCCCCTAGCGAGCAGCCGAGTGGCCGAGCTGCCCAGCAGCCGAGCCGCCGAGCCGCCCAGCAGCCGAGTCCCCCAGCAGACAAGCCGCCCCTGGAGCAGCCGCCACTGCAGCAGCCGCCCCTGCAGCAGCTGCCCCTGGAGCAGCCGCCCCTGCAGCAGCCGCTCCTGGAGCAGCCATCCCTGCAGCAGCCGCCCCTGGAGCAGCCGCCACTGCAGCAGCCGCCCCTGGAGCAGCCGCCACTGCAGCAGCCGCCCCTGCAGCAGCCGCCCCTGGAGCAGCCACCCCTGCAGCTGCCGCGGAGCTCTCACCCTACAGTGGTAGCGGCCTCGCCGTTGCCGCCGTCGTACGCCTGCCCTTCTCGCCACTGGTGAGCACTGCCCTGCCCGTACTGCTGTTACTACTGCTCTTGCTGCTCCTCCTCTTTCTACTGCTACTGCTGCTCCTGGCGTGGCCAGATGCAGCTCCAGCGTCGCCCCCGTGAGTCCCTCACCCCCCAACAGCTTTGTGAGTGGTACGCTAGTTGGGGTTGTCGGGGTGGCCGTAGTGGGAGTCGTTCTCGAGTGAGTAGTTCCACAGCTGCTTGTAGTGGCCAGGTGCAGATGCAGCGTCGCCCACGTCAGTCCCTCACCCCCCAACAGCTACGTGAGTGGTACGCTCAGGGTAGAGGGTCGCTGAGTAGTGCTCGCTGCCCGTACGTTATTAGCACGGGTGTCCGGACTGGTCAGCCTTGCGAGTCGCGCGGTCACACAGAGTCCCGCTGCTTCGCCCATCCGAGCGACGCTTGTCGTACGGAGTTTAGCGACGCGGCTGAGCTCCCTGAATGGGTGGAGCTGCTTAGGCTGCGGGTAGATATCTACACTCTTGACTATGATGCTCTCCTCACTGCCATGTATGCATTGCCTACTAGTGATGAGGGTGACTGTTATCTGTGTGTTCCGCATGACCCGGGCATTGAGGCTGCTGCTCTAGGTGCTGGTGAGGCTGCTGCTCTAGGTGCTAGTGCGTCTGCTGCCCTAGGTGCTGGTGAGTCTGCTCTCTCAGGTACTACGTCGGCTCAGGCCTTACACACCTTCACCCTTGACTTGGGTGCTTCCTGCTCCTTCTTTCGAGACCGCACCACGCTTACGCCGCTTAGTCGGCCGGTTGCAGTCTCCCTGGCCGACCCCTGTGGGGGTCCTGTCCTTGCTAGCTTCTCCACTGTCTTACCGTGCCCGACAGCCCCCTCTGGCACCCTGCACGGTCTCTACCTCCCCTCGTTCTCTACGAACTTAGTGAGTGGAGCTGACCTACAGGATAGGGGGGTTGACCAGCTCACTCCTGCGAGTCAGCGGGTGACCCACTGCACGTGTGCTCGGACAGGCCGAGACTTGGCCACGTTCACCCGTCGGCCGGGGTCGAGCCTGTACACACTCACTACTATGTCTCCTCCGGCTGCTGAGTCTGGTCAGGTAGCTGCGTCAATTCAGGTGTTTGCTGCAGCGTCCAGGTCTGGTCCTGAGTCTGCTCCCTGCTCGTGTCGTCTCCTGTCCCACCAGACTCTCCTCTGGCACCACCGCCTAGGTCACCCCTCCCTGCCTCGTCTCTGAGGCATGGCCTCCCATGTCTTGTCTCTGGTCTCCCCCGGTCTCTCCCTCCCCTACCTCCGGGGCCTGCCCCTACTTGCGTCCCCTGCGTCGAGGGGCGACAGTGCGCCGCCCCTCACTCCTCCGAGTTTCCTCCGACAGAGGCTCCGCTGCAGACTCTCTACATGGACGTGTGGGGCCCCGCCCGCGTCCGTGGCAA